CCTTCAACACCCAAAAAAGCGAACCATGGATCCCGATATAGAAATCCAGGAACCAAGGCGAAGCAAATGCCCAAAAATAGCACATGACTATAATAAAATGCACGAGGGAGAACCCATCCCTGAGCTTGTTGAATTCACCGAAGAAGAACCGGATGATGGGCAACTGCTTATAGAAGAATATATGTATTTGGCATTTAACGAAGCAAATATGGCAAGTGACGATCCAAAAACATTGGAAGAAGCCAAAAGTAGCCCAGAATGGCCACATTGGGAAAAAGCGATCAAAGCCGAACTCGGCCAACACGTGGAATATGGCACGTGGGAAAAGAAGCCATGCCCCACTGATCGAAAAGCGATCGGGAATAAATGGGTCTTTGTACGAAAATATGGCAAAGAAGGGGAACTCCAAAAATACAAAGCCAGATTAGTGGCTAAAGGGTTCTCCCAGATTCCCGATCTAGACTATACTAGTACATTCTCGCCGGTAGTAAGATTAGAAACACTAAGAATAATATTAGCAGTAGCAGTAGCAGAAAACTGGGAAATCCAGCAAATGGACGTAAAAGGCGCTTACCTAAACGGGAAGCTAAAAGAAGACGTCTACATGAAACAGCCGCATGGCTTCGAAGATGGCACAAAACGTGTCTGTAAATTAATCAGAACTCTATATGGATTGAAACAATCTGGAAGAGAATGGAACATAGAATTAAACCAGAAATTAACCGAAAAAGGGTTTACACGCCTAACATCGGATTCCTGTGTATACATTCGAAAAACACCAAACTCGTGCGAAATTATTACGGTTTGGGTCGATGACCTATTATTATTTGCTAAAACAAAAAATCGCATGCAGGAGCTAAAAGAGGAATTAAAAACTCTATTTGAGCTCACTGATCTCGGTGAACCAAGCAAAATTGTAGGAATCGAAATTACACGAGACCGATCAAAAGGCACACTAAAAATAACTCAAACGAAATACATAGAGTCCATTCTACAAAAATGGGGACTCGAAAATGCGGACAAAGTGGCGACGCCAATGGACGTCAAAACAAATTTATCCCCGAAAGATCCGCCGGGTGAAGCGAATCGAAGCAATAATTATGCTTCATTAATCGGTTCCTTAATGTATGCCGCGTGTGCAACAAGGCCAGACATAGCCTTTGCCGTAAACAGACTCGGAGCCTTCACGGCAGATCCCGATTTAACCCACTGGACGGCTGCCAAACGCGTAATAAGATATTTATCAGGCACAAAGAATCTCGGAATAATATACCGCAGAAAAGCGAAATCAAACCTAAAAGGGTACACAGATGAGATCGGATTTGATGCCGAACATATGATCAGACCACACGCGTTCTCTGATTCGGATTTTGCAAACCAATCAGATAGAATATCCGTATCTGGCTATGTATTCATGTTGACTGGAGCAGCCGTCACATGGAGATCCAAAAAACAAGTCGCTGTTTCGTTATCTACGACAGAGGCCGAGTATATTACGATGTCATTCACAGCCCGAGAGGCCATGTGGATAAGAAACCTATTAAACGAAACGGGCTACCAACAAAAAGGGGCAACGACAATATATGGAGATAATAAATCTGCTCTGTCGCTGTCCGAAAACCCCGAATTTCACGAGAGAACAAAACATTTCCAAATCAGACATCATTATATTCGTGAAAGAGTAAAAGAAGGAGACATAAAAACAAAGTATTGTCCTACCAATGACATGACGGCGGACATACTCACAAAACCTCTCCCGAAACCGAGACATAACCAACATGTCGAAGGACTTGGACTAGGCTCGGATTGAGGGGGAGTGTTGGGAGATGAATAAAAGACATCATGTCACTCCCGACATGTCCGAGACGTCGGATACCTGGGCACTGCCCAGACATGCGTAGAAACTGCGCATGAGGCTCCTGTGTGGAGCGATTACTAAGAAAAGCTCCTAAAAAGTAAATAGAAGCCCCTGAACATGATCCGATGCCAATCCGAGCAGACAA